AAGTAAATGGACACAGATTAAAACCATATTATGAGGGTAAAAGACCAAATTTTAAAGAGGTTTTAATGATCAGTCAACCTGAATGACACCTGACTAGGTCGGGCTGACGACGTTAAGCCAAACGCTTTATGGGAGGCAACTCATTTCTATCTTTACTTTAATCGTGATCATAGTAGTTTTTATTTAACAGCCACTAAAAAACACCTTTAACCGCAATTTTGACCAGTCAACAGCCACAATTCATCATCCCCCTTTCCTTCCTCCATAAAACATCATTTTTGAACTAGGGCTTGAAAGATCTTAGATTGGGAGGCAATTCTCTCTCTCTCTCAATATGGTGATAGAGCTACTTGGTGGATGGTGGACAACAATGAACATAAGATTCGATCGATAATGTTGTTATTATTGATGTTGGAGAACGAGCACCCTTACTGGACGAGTAATGGTGAAATTTAGCATCGTTCGATGGTCGGAGATGTTGATTGTTGGTTGTCCTTGAAATTTAGGCATTAGAAGGTGGTTGATGTTGTTGTGTCTTTTAGAATTTTTTCTATAATTTAATTAGGTTGAAATTACTCCACGTCAAAAGAGACGGGTTGAGTTCGACGAGTCTTGCTTCGTCAATGTGATGGCTCTAACAAAATTTACTTCCATATTTAAAGGAAAGAATTGCATTAAAGATCGAGTTTTTCACGTATTCATATATCTCACACCTATACCTTTTCATAGTTGCGAACATAGGATCCAAATATTTACATCATATTAAAAATGCCAGTATCATTTATCTTTTATAAATTAGATACACTTTCATGTGTAAATTCTTCACACCAAAAATATTATAAATGTAAATATACAAATTTGAACGTTAGGTATATAAATACATATAATATGTGGTTGTAAATTTTCTCTTCTTTTTCATTTTTTAAATGTGTTTGTTTAAATAAAATCAATCTAGAGTACTCTTTCACTACAATTGAAAAATATCATCCTCATAAATTAGTCTATATTTTTATACAAAATTTTCTATTAGCATTATATAAGCTAGGAATTTTCTTCTCAACTCCTAAGCAGCATGGCTATTCCAACTAACAATATCACCCCACAGATAGAAAAGATATTACGTCGGGAGCAAGCAAGATACGTCTAGACAAAAGATGCAATATATCGGGGGCAATTTTTTTTTCATCCGCTCCATCCGGTGTATCACATCCGTTGTTTGAACATAGTTTTGCGCTCAAACTCCATACACAATATTTTCTCCAACAGATGACTTCAGAGCAAGAATGAGTTTACCCTATGAAATTAGTAAAGCTAATTTGAAGACTTATGAATCCCATGAGAAATGGAGAATTGGGAGTAGAAGTCAAGAACCTTCTACTAGTAGAGATGTTTCCTCTATAAGTTATGACCTTCCACCTTCTAGTTCCCCTACTCTCACTGATTTGATGGATGAGTTGACCTTGCAGCGGAAGAGCATAGAGCTGATAAATGAAAGGATTGGCAGTTTAGAATGTTGACACAATTACGATAGTGAGTACCTTCAGAGGCATTCAAATTTTGAGGTAGCTTATTATTAAGCTCAGGATCGACACTATAGAGGTGAGCCTGATGTTACTTTTCCCCAGCAAAGAGGCCTGCATTCTCATATTCCACATTTTACAACGCAGCAGCTCTGCTATTTTGATATATGCATCTAACATTTTCTAGATTCAACCTTTAGCTAACAGAGCCATGCCTAATGTTTTCATACCACAACAAATTAATTGTGATATTCTGACAGCAGCCCCTCTCCAGCATTGAGCGGTTGGCCATCTTCTGAAATATGTTTCTGGATGGAAATTTTCTTGTTGGATCAAAAAGATGAATGGAAGAAAGAACATCACCACCTCTTCTCAGACAAAGAAATCAGCTGAAAAGGAACAGAAGGAATATGTACAATTCAATAATATCATTCCAATAGATAAAAATTGAAAGGGAGATTTACATGCATACCACACAATTCCTAGGTATTCACATGTATAACACATAAAGTTTAATTTTACATTTATAATGCTTTGGTATCATAAACATATGCAAGAAAATGTATATTTCACTTCTAAAAATTTAATAATGTTAATTTTTTATGTGATGTTTTATGTAAATATGAAAGTTTGGGTGTTAGCCCAAAATTCTGATTTTCTTATCAATCTATTATGAGCTCAATCATTCACAATAATTGTCATTTTTGTCTACTCAAATCCATTTATTCACAGATCAGTCAACAGCCGTCACCAATTCGATTTAGTTCCCTTTTTCCATCGGCCCCAATAACGGTTGTATTAAACCTAGCTTTCCAATTACAATTTATGTAAACCATAAAGACTTACAAGAGAGAGAAATCATATGGAGTTGAGAAGCTTAGTTTTTTATTAATTATAAGCACAGATTAGCAGTTACCTGCATCCATTCCCCTTATATTTACCTCTAATCCTCATACTTCACTGAATCACATTAAACATTTCCTTGCTACAGATTGGTAGTTCCAAAGTTATCATTATGAATTCAAAGGTTTCCATCAATACATAACAATGTTATTTCAATTAGAACCCACTAATTCATTTTTATTTAATAATCAGTCCCGAAATCGTATGAAAAGAGTTTTTTAAAAAGCATAATAATCAAACAAGTTCCTAAATAAAGAAATAACTTTTTTTGTGAAAAGAAAACAGTTTGGAAGTTTAACCAAATGAGGCCATAATTTTTAATTTCAGACTAATTCTTAAGATGGGTATAAATAAAGACTGTTAAGATTGGCATAGTTCTCAACATAACTGTAGAAATGACAAACCTGGCGAGCAACTTGAACGAGTCGCCTATTATCTCGAGGTAAGTCAGTTGCCAAACTAGATTTCGAAGATACAGGCACTGAATTTTGCTTATCCACAGATTTTGGCTTCAAAGTTGGCTTTTTCTCAGCGAAGTTGATCTCATTTTTTGTAGGAGAAAATTCCTTCTTTCTTTTCCTCTGGAAGGTATATTTCAGGAATTTATCTGTTCCAGTTTGAGCAGTTCCATTTGCGATATCTTTGGTTTCAGTTTTTAGATCGTCCGAATTTTCTGTTAAATTTTCCTCTTCTTCCTTTGAATCTATCGCCACTTCTCTTCTATTTTCTACATCTTCCTCAATGGAAAATGTCCTTTCTAAGAAACGATCATTCGCATATTCACTGTTACTCAATGAATTCTGCAGAAATTTATCTTCACAAACAGACTGGTTTTGCTTCTGAAAGTTTTGGCAGGTTATTCCTTTGGAGCACTGCTTGATCTCCATTCGTTCCATCTTTATAGACGCATCCAATCTACATCTATTCAACATCAAACTTTCCTTTTCTGCAGAAATCTCTGCAAAACACTTTCTATCTTCTGTAGTTTCACCAATAAAAGGAGTTCGAGTTTCCTTGGGTGCTTCGGTTTCATTCCAATTATCATGGACCGTGAACTTAGAGCTAATGATACAAGACTTTAATTCATCTGAAAAAATACCATCAGGGAAAGCATTCGACTGGTTATTTATCATTCTTTTCTTTCTGGGTGACAAAAATCCATCGGAGGAAATAGAATAAACTTTCCCACTGCAACCTGGTTCTTGTTCAGTATCTACAGTGTGGCAGAAGCCTATTTCTTCCTCTGTCACTTTAAACATCAAAGCATCCTTAACCTGTGTTGTTCTATTATCTGAAATTGCAGAATCTGTTTTACAGGGAATTTGAAGATCAGGCCCCTTTGAAGATATCAAATCATGCTCCAGTGCATGGATTCGTTGGGTATAACCTTTCCTATAAAGCTCAGGTACTTTTCTCCATATTATAGAAGCCAAATCAGTGTTTCCTGGAGATTCACCCTCTGAAAATTCTTTAGGATATTCAGCTTTTTCAGCATTTCGAAGGCAACACAGATCGGTATCAGTGGTTTTCTGAGTCAATGATGTCATATTATTAGAGATAATTGGCATATTTCCAAGTCCATTCAAGTTACCAGAACTAGTTTCCTTCCCTACATTTTTGGATGCCATAAAGATTTCATTTATGTTTCCTTCACTCAATGGCCAAACTGAACCATTTTTTATTATCATCAATTCTTCCCTCACTTTTTTTAGATCTTCTCTAAGATCAACTATTGTATCCTCTGCTTCCCCAAGCTGAAGTTCAAGCTCGTCAATCTTCTTTGCCTGATACAAAGCTTCCTTCTCGGCTTCTCTAATCTGCAAAAGATAAGGGAATAATGTGGCAAAATCCCAATTTCAGAAATAATAATAATAATAACAATAATAGTAATTTACTTTTTAGAGCATCATATGGATAATTTTGGCTAAATGAAAACAAAATAAAGTTTAAATATAAATATTGTCATGCCGATGAGCACAAGTAACAGACTATAACAAGTTATTGCAAGAGAATTACCAACTCAGATGAATATTGCTGAACTACATCAGAATCAGAAATTATTAAGGTTGAATTTTGGACTATATTAAAAATCTAATCATGATTTATTCAAGGGATAACAATAATATTTTCTTCTAACAGCCTCTCCAACCGTGTTTAATTTTTTTTTAAAGATAGCAAATCTATCTAAAATAATTCTATTGATTATAAGCAGGGCACAACTGCATAAGACAGCTAAATACTCACTCCACAATGAGCTCGTTGGTATGGATCCCTAGCGTACACTACGCTACAAAAGGTATCATGTTTCTTTTCTCGACGTATACTAAGTTCATCACAGTGAAATATGAGAAATTTTTTAAATCTTTAGCTTTCTTCCATTCATGCGTCTAGAATTTTACTTTCATAAATAGTTTGGCAGGTGGCAAATTTACCACTTTATCCTGAATAAGCTTTGCTTTACAATCAGCTCCTAGGTGACCTCAATAGAAACTGAAAAGCCTTAATTTTTTTTTTTCCTAACAAATAATTCTAGTTACCATTCAGGCGTACTACGCAATTAAAAATATTTTAAAAACAACTCTAAATTTATAAGGCCTTAATTAAACAACTAAGCTATATCGTTTTCAATATTGGACAGCATCGTAACATTAAGCCTGGATGGCAAAACTTGAGAATGTTAAAATTGATCAGTGGTAAATCTATGGATTAAATGAAAACGACAATATTAAAGAGACAATTGGACAACACCTATAAAAGAAAAGAGAAAAATAGTAAAAGCTATACTTGGTCACCAAAACATTTCTACACAACTATTGGAATACCATAAGGTCATACTATTTGTTCACACTTCATGAATTAGAAACCGATATTGAACGTATATTAAAACATAGCCTAAATCTACACCAAAATCTGAATTTGAGCTTTTAATAGAAACAAAATTATTTCTTGATTATGAAACTGAAATTCCTGTAGAAAGTCCTAAATATGATTTCATATTACCAGAGCCAATGGACAAATAGGGTTGTAAAGTATCTATATTTGTGTTACCATGTGGAATAATTTAGGAAAGGATATTACAGGCTGAATCCGTCCCGCTCTCCTATTTCCTTACTTAGGAGGATCAAAAAAGTTATGTAGCTTTAATTAATGGAGGGGGTTTTCTCTCATGTTAAATACGACCTTATTGTATTTGAAATAGCAATTCATAGGTTACTGATTAATAATTTTAGCAAAAATTTATCACTTTTAATGTAAAAACAGCAAAAATGCTTTATTCTATCCAAAAGATAACTAACAATTGCTCAAAATCGAAAATTCCATAACAAAACAGTGGACAATATTAAAAATCAACAACTAAAGAAGTTCACACTTCAAAAAGTAAATGAGTGTACGAGTGTATATCACTTGACAAAAGTTTAGCCACCACATAAAATCAATGTCTAATAAATTAAAATGTCAAACCAAAGATAGAAATCACCTTAAAGAGAAGCAATAAACCTCAAACTGGGACGAGGAGTTTTGCCTCCAAAAGTAGTTTTCCAAATCTATGAAGCACTCGGAGAACTTAAATACAATAAGTCACACAACAAAAGAGGAAAGTTGAAAAATAAGTCTTCAGATTTCTATTTATAGCATTCTACTCTAGAATTTTCCACAAAGAAGTTAACACGAGAAGATCTAGCTATAGCTAGAATAGAAACAAACATCAGGTAGTAACTATTAGGGCTGTCAAAAAAACAAACTAAATAGTTCATGAACATAGATTTGGAAAACTCTATCTGTTGATTGCTAGTTTTATGTATCGTCCTAAATCGAGCCAAATATAGATTTGGAAAACTATCCTAATGTTTGACTCGATTTAGGACGATATTAATTTAAGTTAACTCTTGTCAATTTTATTAATTAGGGCTTAGATTTGTGTAATGATGATTTACACAAAAAACCTAAAAAGATATGAGTTTTACGTCGAGTGACTACCTCAGAATCTTAAAATAAGTTAGGACATATTGCATATCGGGGCTATGCAGGAACCTAACAAAAAAAAAAGGATTAGTTAACCTAAATCCTAAGTTAGTTAATCCTAAATACATAGGATTAGCTAAGCCTAAATCCTAGATTAGTTAACCCTAAATCAGTAGGATTAGTTAACCTAACCCTAAATCAATAGGATTAGTTAACCTGAACCTTAGGTTAATTAACCCTAAACTAATGGGATTAGTTAACTTGAACCCTAGGTTAGTTAACCCTAAACCAATGGGTCTAGTTAACCTCAACCCTAGGTTAGTTAACCCTAAACCAATAGGATTAGTTAACCTCAATCATAGGTTAGTTAACCCTAAACAAATAAGATTAGTTAACCTAAACCCTAGGTTAGTTAACCCTAAACCAATAGGATTAGTTAACCTAAATCTTAAACCAATATGATTAGTTAACCTAAACCCTAGGTTAGTTAACCCTAAATCAATAGGATTAGTTAACCTAAATCTTATCAGGTTAGTTAACCCTAAACCAATGTGTTTATCCTAAAATGCTTAACCTTAAGGTTAGTTAACCCTAAACCATCAGGATTAGTTAACTTAAGTCTTATGTTAGTTAACCGTAAACTAATAGGATTAGTTAACCTAAACCTCATGTTAGTTAACCCTAAACCAATAAGATTAGTCAACTTAAGTATTAGGTTAGTTAATCCTAAACCAATAGGATTAGTCGACCTAAACTTTAGGTAAGTTAATCATAAATCAATAGGATTAGTTAACCTAAACTTCAAGTTAGTTAACCCTAATCTAACCCTAATTTTTAGGAAAAGCAAACCTAAATCATAATTTAGCCTTAAGCTAAACCTACCCTAAGCCTTAAGTCAAAACCTAACCCATAGGTTAAACATAGAAGAACCTTTTAGATATAACCTTAAACCTAAATTAAACCTAAATCCCTTAACTTGAACATCAATTAAGAAATAAAATAAAACACATCGGGATGGGTAAAATTTACATAAAACATATTAAAACTTAAACTTAAACCAAATCAAATGTAACAAAGCTTTAAATGTCAACAAAGCTTTAAAGCATGGCTTTGATGTTAAGTCAGCTTCGAAGTCGTCAACTTCACATAAGTAATAACAATATAAATAATAACAAGTGAATAAAACACTTAAAATCCGACAATAAGATGTAAACAACCTAAAACATTTCAGCCCTAAAATCAATAAAGTAATTCAAGAATTAATCAAATTTTAATCACAAAGATCACATAACACAGCTTAAACCATTTTCACTCTAGTTCACGAAGATTTCTTCGACGATGCATTCTGTAGATGTTGACAAGAATCTTCCGGTCCTGATGAGTAACCACCTTTCGGACTAAGCCAACCAGCGACCCGGGACGACGGAGCCATAAACATCTTGATTGGGTTACCACTAATTAAATAATTAAAATTTAATAAAAAAAATTAATAAAATATTATTTTTTTATTCGTTCTATTTATTGATTTTTGTATCTCAATGTATGTTTTTACTGCTTTTATCAAAATAGAATGCATGTGTTAAAGACAAATAATGAAGAAATAAAAGTTGCTTAGATTAAGAATAACCAAGAAATCATAACACTAGGGAATTACTGAGCTTAAGTGAACTTAGCATTGGCTCAGGTTTGAATTATACATCCACTACTCTTTAATTAATTCACTATAAAATTATCGAAATAAATAAAACTTTTAATAATAAGATTGGAAGACTTGAAGACTTGAAGACATTTCAACAAGGAACTTGGAGCAGACTTCTTGGGCAGCTCCTTCAAGACATTTATTTAGTTTAAATAATAATCCTTAGGATTCTGAGGTTGTCTTTTATGACATAAAACCTCTCTTTTTGTTAGGCTGCATAGTCCCGATATGCAACATGTCCTAACTTGTTTTAGGATTCTGAGGTAGTCACTCGACGTAAAACCTCATATCTTTATAGTCTTTTAGTGTAAATCATCATTACACAAATCTAAGCCCTAATTAATAAAACTGACAAGAGTTAACTTAAATTAATATCGTCCTAAATCGAGCCAAACATTAGGATAGTTTGGAGGATTACCAAAAACCTATTCTGGACTTATAATCTCTACTACTTTTCTTCCTTTGATTCTTCAAATAAAATCTTTCACCTTTGAACAAATCCCTATTGGAAATTTCACAATCATGTTCGTTGAAAATCCTTCCTTTTGAATTAATGAAAATAAAAGATTTCTGATTTTTATTGAGAGTTTTCTTAAGTGATTCATTCCCTTAAGATGTAATTAACTATAGGGGTTTGCGCTTATAGGGAACTTAAAAAAACCCAGACTTAAAATAAATCATATTTGACTCCCATATCGAATAGAGGAATCTATCGGTCATCATGCAAACTTGCAAACTTGCCATGCAAACTTGCAGATCAAACGGAAGTCATTTATTTCTATAGTTTATTTAATTAAGTTTATTATCAAGTAGTGTATTATCTTTCAGGGTGATATATTACTCGTAGTTAACTCAATTATTCAAACTGTAGGGAATCAATGAAATCAACTTGAGCTCATTTTCTTCAAATTAAAATACCTAATTTGTAAATACTATATTACACTAAATTAAATCGCACCCAGCCGTATGGCGATCAACAAATTCAAACCTAGCCAAACCAGCCGGTGGCCTAGCCAAGCCAACCGGCTCAACCTAGAGAGGCTGAGCATGATTTTAGTGCTCAGGTAGAGCCCACACAACCGCTAATCACGTAAGAGAGGAGAATCAAGGGGGGTTTGGGGGAACAATTTGAAAGGGCATCTTCTCTTGTATTTA